AAGGCACCTGGATGCTCTTTACCCGTGTCCCGAGGTGGCTCAGAGCCAGCTGGACCTTTACGCCGCCGCCTGCCAGCCCGAAATGAACGGATCCACGCCAGCCCCCTTCCCGGAGCAGGGCTACGGTAGCTTCCCCACGGCGGAGGGTGCTCAACCCCTCCAGACACCACCCACCTTGGGAAACACCTCGCAGTGCTTCTTCCAGCCCAAGCTCCTGGACAACAAGCAGGACATCAAGCTGCCCTCCGGTTCCCCGCCCTTGGACAAATTTAAAGCCTCTTGCGCCCAGTGGGAGCCCATCGCCCAGCATCAGGCCTACTTGCCCGCTGGCTACCATTCTCCCGAAGCCTTCCCAGCCGGGGAGAGCGGCCAGGGGCTTTTCCACCCCTTGGGCTCCAAGATGGAGAGCGTCTTGTCCGTCAGCTGCCAGTCGGAGCTCGGCAGCCTGGCAGAGGACGCTGCCTGCTTCGGCACCCATCTGGGCTTCGGCTGCGAGCCAGAAAACTTCCCGGCCCGCGGGGACTTTGCCGACACCAAGATCCACAACCTCCCGCCTCCCTTAATGCCGGAATTCGACGCCTCCTTGGCCCAGCCCGAAGTCCTGCCGGGTCTGATGAGCTCTGCCGAGCTCCTCCATCCTCACCCCTCGCCCTCTGTCCCCGCCACGGACTTTTTGGGCCACCCCACCTCTTCCTCCATCCCTTCCCTGCTGCCCGCCAACCCTCCTCCCTTGGCCGAGCCCAAGAAGAAGACCCGCCGGACCAAGTGCTCTTCCAAATGCTTCTGCCCAAAACCCCACGAGAAAGCATTCGCCTGCCCGGTGGAGAACTGCATCCGGAGCTTCGCCCGCTCGGATGAGCTCAACAGGCACCTCCGCATCCACACGGGCCACAAACCCTTCCAGTGCCGCATCTGCCTGCGGAACTTCAGCCGCAGCGACCACCTCACCACCCACATCCGCACCCACACCGGCGAGAAGCCTTTCTCCTGCGACACCTGCGGCCGCCGCTTCGCCAGGAGCGACGAGAAGAAACGCCACAGCAAGGTGCACCTGAAGCAGAAAGCCCGGACGGAGGAGAAGCTCAAAGGTTTGGGGTTCTTCTCGGTGGGTCTCTCCTTCGGGACACTGTGAAGCTTCGACCCGAACGTTGGGAGATGGTGTTTCCCGAGGTCCCCCGGGCATCTCACGGGAGAGCCGGGGTGGGAATAACCTCCTGGGGTGGCCCTGGAGAAGCTGACGGCAGCTCGGGCCGTGCCAGGGAGGAGAGGGGCGACGCGGGAGGCAGAGGCGATGCCGCGGCGCCGGGCCACCGGCTGCAGAGGTGGGATGTGGCAGCTCCGACCGCCCGGAGCCATCTCCAAACTGCAGCAACCGAGTCATTTTTATAGCTCCTATTCCAAGGAGGGGAAAGAAAAAACCATGTACAGAAAGAAATCACCACCGACATGCTTGGGGGGGGGGTTTTTGTGTGGTTTGTTTTGGTTTTTTTTTTTTTTTTAAAAAATATGTCCAAACCCACGGACGTGCTGCATTTGTAGCGACCTGACTGTGATTTCCCCTGCCAGCACTTTACACGATGCTCCCGACTGGTTATTTACTGGCCGGCGCAGTCGGGGGCTGCGGCTGCACTGGTCCTTTCTCCCGAAGGAGAGAGATGCTGCCGGGCTTCGGCAACCGGTGCGTAACGGTCCCTTTGGAAAGGTGATATTATTCTTATTATTCTTATTCTTATTTTCTTGTTTGTAAAAAGAAAAAGAATCTATCAGGAATATTAGAAAATTGTGTCTATTTTTCTAATTAAAGATTTGAGCTAATCGAAGACCTTGCTGGGGTTGCTCTCTGCTTTTGAATCCCGTACAGCAGCCGACGCCGATGGTATTTCTGTTGCGGTTTTGACCTCTAGCTGCTGCGTATGGGGGGGGGGGGAAAAAGGTGCTTAAATAATTTGCAGGGAGAGAAAAATCGATCAGTGCAGCAGGGGGGGGTTAGTGACCCTCCTCCTGAGCAGCCCCAGATCCCCAAGGTGGGCGACAAGGAGAAGGGGTTTGTCCCAGGACAGAGCAGAGAAGGGATCCCTGTTCCCCAAGGGGGGGGGGGGGGGGGAGTCCCCCTCTGAAAAGGGGGAAAAGGAGGGGACGTGGCTCTGGGTTTATTCTGATGGGGCTGAGCCCTGGAGGGATCTGCCCAACTTGGATCCAGAGCTGCAGGCTCCACCGTGGGGACCCCAAAGCCCAGCTCAACCCCCCCCCAAATCCGGGCTCCTGGGCCCCCCCGTGGGGTGTGGATGCCCCGTTCGTGCCCTGGCAGGCTTCACCCACAAAAAACGGGGCAAAATACAGCCCCGCTCCCCAGCTTCAACCTGGCACATCCCCAGGGCTGGAGGAGATCCAGGCAGCACCGCGCAGAGGCAGGCAGGCAGGATGCAACCCCCTGCGAAGCCGGGGGGGGGGGGGGGGGGGGGGGGAGCTGTTTGCTCCCTCCTTTTTGGCATTTTAGGCGGCCGTTTCCCTCCTCGTGGGACCAGCCAGCAGCCGGATGGCTCAAGGGGGAGATTTTGCATCCTGGAAGGCGCTGCTGATAGCAGAGCCTCCCTCCTCCAGTAGTTAAAAATCAGCCAAAACCGCATATTCCCCAAAACCTCATCCTTCTAACAGGAGATGCTCACTCAGGGGGGGCACGCCGGTCTTTGGTTTTAATTCATCCGAAGGAGAAGGTGCCTGTGGGAACGGAGGGAGCCGGGCAGCGGGGACGGGGCGGCACATCCCTGGCGCAGGGCTACGCGGTCGTCATGGATGCTCAGGCACTTTGGGGGCGATTGACCTTTTCTTGCTGATGGGGAAACTGAGGCAGGGAGGGGGTGTTGAGCACAGCTGCGAATCTACTCCTTCTGACAGATTTCCTTCCCCCTCACCAACCCCAGAGAGAGGGGGATCTTTCCCCTCCAACTGTGTTATGGAAGATGGAGATCTCCTTCCCCAGGTCCCCTCGTGTCCCCCAGCCCTTTGCCAACACGGGGGCTGGAGCATCGTGGGGTTAAACCCCAGTTATACCATTAGCCCAGCAAAACCCCCTGCCCCGCACTGAGCTTGAGGACCCCGTGGAGATGGGGTGGAAAGCTGGGCAGGCGTCCCCAAGGGCTGCTAGAAGTGATGGGATGGGGGAAAAGGCCAGAAGGAATCCTGGTTGAGGGGGAAATCCTAAATGTCCCCTCAGACCAGGCCCTAAGAGCTCATCCAAGGGTGCCCGTGCCCCTCGGGTGGGCACCCAGCAGCCCACAGCACCGCTGCCTTTGGCAGCTGAACCAGCCCACATGTGTGGGAGCCTGATCCTGGCTCCATGGGATGCAGATGGTCCCAAGTACCAGGAAAAAAAAAAAAAAAAAAAAGAAAAAAAACAAAAAAGAAAAAAAACTTTTTCGGGGGGGGGGGGCACACCAGATATTATTAAGAAAGACTTCAGCACCCAGGTTTCCTTTGGGAAGGGGCGTCTTTTGGGCACCTCTCCGCAGGATGTCAGCTCTGGGCGGGCAGTAAACAGCCCTGCTTTCCCCCCGCGCCGCTGGCCATGCATGATGCATGAGGCCTTTATTAACACCCCTCCGAAAGTGCATCTATTATTGATGCTGAGCCTGAAAGCTCTGCAAAGGCACCCGGGCTCGAGCCTTCACCCTCGGCTCCCCCGGCCGGCGCTGCCGAGGGAGGGCGGGAGGGAGGAGGGCACCCACCCCGGCGGCTGCTTCTGGGGTGGGATGGGAGTGAGCCCTCATGCTTGTGTTTTTAGGGGAGGAGGAGGGATTGCACCCCGAAATCTGAGGCTGTTCAGGGATGGGGACAGCCGCTGACCCCCAGGCTGGCTGCATCCTCATCCCAGCCCTGCTGTCTTCCCCTCCACGCCCACATCAGAGGTGAAGAAAACATGTGGGTGCTGGATGCCTTTGGCACTGGGGACCAAGCTGAGGAGCGCAGGGAGCAGCTCCCCAAACCGGGGATTAAACCAGAGTGATCGGGAACTAGATCAGGACCAAGTCAGGGTGCTCAGGGGCTGGCTGAGGACCAAGCTGGGGGCTGAGCCAGGGTGCTCAGGGACTTAATCCAGACCAAACCAGGGATTAAGATAATCAGGGATCAAATCAGGACCAAACCAGGGATTAAGTCAGGTTTATCAGGGGTTGGATGAGGACCAAGCTGGGAACAAAGCCAGGGTGCTCAGGTACTCACTCAGGACCAAACCAGGGATTAAGCCAGGCTGATCAGGGACCAGGGACTAAACCAGGGTGCTCAGTGACTTGATGAGGACCAAACTGGAGACCAAGGTGCCTGGGGACTCAATCAGGACCAAACCAAGGATTAAGCTGATCACAGACCAAATCAGGACCAAACTGGAGACCAAACCAGGGATTAATCCAGTCTGATGAGGGACTGGGGACCAAGTCAGGGTGCTCAGGGACTGGATGAGGGCCAAGCCAGGGTGCTCAGGGACCAGAACAGGACCAAGCCGGGGTGCTCAGGGACAGGATGAGGGCCAAGCCAGGGTGCTCAGGGACCAGAACAGGACCAAGCCGGGGTGCTCAGGGACAGGATGAGGGCCAAGCCAGGGTGCTCAGGGACTGTGCCAGGACCAAGCCAAGGTCCTTGCAACCCTGGGTCCAGCCCTGGGTGGGGAAGCAGCAACGCTGTCACACTCGGCCACTCGCCCAGCACCAGCTGGACCCCCGGGGGTGAGTGGGATGCTCCGGGGTGATCCCAGCCAGGGGCTTCACTGCTGGGGGCAAGGGTGGGATTTGGGGGGGGGGGACGGGGGGAGAGGGACGGGATCAGGGAGATGCAGGATGAGGCCGGCGAGCTGCCGCATGGCAGCAAGGCCCGGCGGAGAGCCCGCGGTGTTCGTGGGGAGACAGGCAGAGGGAGCTGTGAAGGAGGAAAACGGCAGAGAGAAACAGTCCGGGCTCAGGCTGCAAAGGAGGAGGAGGCAGCTGCTAGCTCTCGCCCTCCCTCCCTCCTTCCCTCCTTCCCTCCTTCCCTCCCTCCCTCCATCCCTCCCTCGCCCCTGCCTTCGCCATGCACAGCCCCCCCTGAGCCCCTCAGCGCCCCGGGGACCCGCTGTCCCCAGGGTGCCCAGCAGCCCTCGCCCTCCCACCACCCCGCCAGCGCCTTCAGCCTCTTCTCCCTCCCTCCCTCCCTCCCTCCCTCCCTCCCTCCTCCTCCTCCTCCCGCAGCCACCACCCTCCCTCCTTCCCCAGGGCCTGCCTGGCATGGAGGTGCTGGCCGCAGGGAGCCGGATGCTTCCCGCAGCTCCTGCCTCCTCCCCGGGCTGCATCCCTCCTGCCCAGCATCCCTCCTCCCCGACAAAGCCCTGAGCCGCTCAGCAGCCCCCTCCTCTTTGTGCACCGGAGCGGGTGTGCGTGCTCCGTGTGTCTGTGTGTGTCTGTGCCCTCCCCTCACCCCCGTAGCCACACACCCCCCCCGGCTAGCTCCGCTCGGACGGTTGGTGGCCCAGCGGGCAAGCGGGAGCGATGCTGCCCTCGCCGGAGGAGCCAAGCGCGGGAGGTCGGCGGCGAGAAGCAGGTACGGAGCGGGATGCTGCGCTGGGAGGTGGTGGCTTGTCCCCAAGCTTCTCCTCGCCCCCCCCCCCCCCCCCCCCCCCCCCCGAGGAGCAGGGGGACGCAGCGGGGACAAAGCCACTGCCAGGAGGTGAGGAGGGACCCGCTCCTCGTTCTTCCAGGTGCTGGGGGAAGGAGGGGGAGGGGGGGGGGAGTGATGGAGGTTCGATGCACCCCGGCTTTTTCATGCTCACCTCCCACAAGCGCCCTGCGCCTCATCCCCAGCCCTCGTGTGTGTGTGTGTGTGTGTGTGTGTCCCACCCCGGTGCCCCCCACCCCGCTGCCATAGCAGCCTCAGCCGGGGAAGGATGGGGACCATCAGGCACCGACAGCATCCACCACCCCTCTTCTCCATCCCCCCCTTTCCCTCAACCAAGCAGCAGAGCTGCCTGCTGGTAATTTTTTTTTTTTTTTTGGCAGGAGGGGAGGGAGGGGGCAGGAAAAACGTTTAAACAATGCAAAGAAAGGATCCATGATGAATCGCAGGTAGCGGCACCGAAGCAGCCCCGGGGATGGGTTTCACCCCTTGCTGCAATCTCCCGACAGCCGGGAGCGTTTCCCGGCTCTGGATGCCCGTGGGCTTTATTAGCGTGGCCGCTGTAGTAATGACTCCGCTAATAATTTCCTTAAATCCTGATTGTTGCTGGGTGGGTGGGAAGGTTTTGTGCTCAGGGTAGGACCTGCCTAGGACAGGGACCGGGCGATGTGTGCCTTTGGACCCGCCTGGGCCGGATCCTGCCTTGGCTTATGGCTGGGAAATACGGAGCGAGGCTGCTCGGGTACCCCGGGAGACGCGGGCAGGGATCCAGGCCTGAGATATCGGTGGCACGATGCTGCCGTGGCCCCATCCCGGCGGTGGAAAAGCGCTTTCTCATCCCATCGGCAGCAACCGAAGTTGCCGGCGGTGCTTTGTGTTCGCCGGGTTTCGGCCGGGCTGGTGCCGGTGGTCGGTCGCCCAGGCGGGGTTAACGTGCCAGGGTGCGTTTTGGAACCACCCCAAAACACAGCCAGGCAGTTCCAGAAATCCTCCCGGCACGTCCTGTTGTGGTTTTGTTTTTTTTTTTTTTTTTTTTAATTTATTTATTTATTTTCACATGGATTTCTTGCCTTTACTGATTTTTCCCTTTAAAAATAAAATGGTTTCCTGAACCTCGTGGCTCGGTTGTACCCTCCAAGGGGGGTGCTGAGCCACTGAGGATGCTTCCCTGGGGACGGGGTGTTCGATGGTGGTTTAGTGCTCACCAAGTATGGCAGTTATGGGGTGCAGAGGGTCTCGGAGGGGTTTTAGGGGGGTGGGAAGAGCCTTTTGTGGGATATTACAGAGCGACGAGCGAGGGATGCTCCCACCCATGGGGTGCCCTCAGTGCTTTGGGGTGAAAGCGCCACAAAAATGCGCCCCGTTATGTGCTTGTGCCTCCCAAGCTGGAGGAGACCACGGTGACCTCCAAGGCTGGATTTTTGCTGGCTTCACAAGGGTGGGGTTGTCCCCTCCCACAATGTCTTGGAGGGTTTTGTGAGTGGGGGATAAACGAGGTCCCAAGAGGGACCCTCACTTGCCCTGGCATGGGAAGCCACCAGGTCCTCTGTATCAGCACAGCATGGGGGTCTCACAGGCCCGGAGGGGATCACCGATGAGGCCTGATGGCTGCGGTGGGGGGCTGGAGAAGTAACTAATCCTGCTGCAAGGCTGCACGGGCTGGTCTAGCAGGATTGGGTCACCCTTTGCTTGGAGAAGGCGGCTTCTATCAACCCAGCCCCAGCATCAACCATAGGGATGCTCCTGGGGCCTGGAGACCCCTGGCACTGCAGGGGCTCATTGTGTGGTGGTTGGGCAAGTAAGCACATGGGACACCCCTCTTTGGCAAGATCAGGGCAGATGAAGTGAGATTTCCCCTGGGTTGTCCATCTGCCTCATGGCTGTACTCCTCCCAAATGGCTGTGAACTTTTCCAATGGTTGTGCACCTTCTCAAGGAGTGGGGGACCTTCCCAACGATCATGGAACTTCCCAGGGGTTGCCCACCTTCCCAGGGGTTGTAGATCTTTTCCAAGAGTTGTGGGTCTTCCCAAGTATTGTAGATTTTTCCTAAGAGTTGTGGGTCTTCCCAAGGGTTGTAGATCTTTCCCAAGGGTTGTGGGTCTTCCCAAGGGTTGTGGGTCTTCCCAAGAGTTGCGGGTCTTCCCAAGAGTTGCAGATCTTCCCAAGAGTTGTGGGTCTTCCCAAGAGTTGTGGGTCTTCCCAAGAGTTGTGGGTCTTCCCAAGGGTTGTAGATCTTTCCCAAGGGTTTTGGGTCTTCCCAAGGGTTGTAGATCTTTCCTAAGAGTTGTGGGTCTTCCCAAGAGTTGCGGATCTTCCCAAGAGTTGTGGGTCTTCCCAAGGGTTGTAAATCTTTACCAAGGATTGTGCACATTCCCAAAGGTTGTGGCCCGTCCCAAGGGTCGTGCATGAGTAGGAGGATGGAGGTAGAGAGGGGACTAAGAAGAAGGACCAAGGAGGGACTTCTGGGGACCCACCATCCCTGTATCACTAACCCCCCCCTATCTCTTCTAGCGCCTGTCACCGGCCGATGCTGACATCCCCCCCAGACTCACCGGACCCTCCACTCCCACCCCAGGGCTCCCACCCCACCATGCCCCAGCAGAGCTGCAGCCCCACCGCCCGGGGCTCCCCAACCCATCCCACGTGCCACCGGTCCATCCATCCCGCGCCATGAGCGGGGCCGTGCGGTTCCCCTGCATCGGGGCGCGTAGCTGAGGGATGGCCTCGTTGGACCTGCCCTACCGGTGTCCGCGGTGCGGGGAGCACAAGCGCTTCCGCAGCCTCTCCTCGCTGCGGGCACACCTGGAGTACAACCACACCTATGAGACCCTCTACGTCCTCTCCAAGACCAACAGCATCTGCGATGCCGCCGTCTTCCCCCTGGCCGCCGACGGGGCCCTGCTGACCCCGGCCGCCCGGCGGGACTACTTTGAGAGCACCTCCTTCCAAGGCAAGGACCAGCGCTTCTCCTGCGACCTCGTCCCCGCCGAGGAGCTGGAGCCGGCCCCGTCCTCCTCCCCCTCGCCCCGCTATGTCCACGAGATCGAGATCCCGCTGACGGAGATCTTCACGCGGGGCAAAGCCGTGGCGCCGGCCCCCGCGCCGCCGGCCACCATGGACGCTGCCTACGAGGAAGGCTTGGCCCGCCTGAAGATCCGTGCCTTCGAGAAGCTGGAGGTGGACAAGCGGCTGGAGAAGCTGACGGAGGAGGTGGAGCAGAAGATCGCCTCGCAGGTGGGCCGGCTCCAGGTGGAGCTGGACCGCAAGAGCTCGGAGCTGGAGAAAGCCAAGCAGGAGAGCCTGCGGCTCAGCCGGGAGAAGCAGGAGCTGGAGGACCGGGCATCGGAACTGTCTCGCCAGGTGGATGTCAGCGTGGAGATGCTGGCCTCCCTCAAGCAGGACCTGGTGCAGAAGGAGCAGGAGCTCACCCGCAAGCAACAGTGAGTCCTTTGCCTCCTCTCCTGGCTGCGGGGTGGGGGGAAATCGGTCCCCGATGACAATCCCCAAGAGCCCAATGCCGCCACCAAACCCTCCGACCAAGTGCTAGGGCACAATCCCCTTGGCAATGCCCGTTAGCATCATCACTCATCAGGTTTTACATCTTCTCCCACGCTGGCAGTGTCCACGTAGACCTGAGCCTCTCCGTGTCCGTGACCAAGCTGGGTCACATCATGTCAGACCTTGTCCCAGCTCCACCAGTGCCCCCCAGGACGTGGCCAGGCTGGGGATGCACGTGGCCATCCTGCTGTCCTGCCAAGGAACATGGTGGTGGCCATGTGGCTGCAGCCCATCTCTAGTACCAAAGGGTGTCCCCCCAAAACCAGGGCTGAGTAGTCCCCCTTTGGCTCCCCAGATGAATCATCTGGCCCAGTTCGACCTGAGCAATCCCACTGACCCGTCCCATGGTCATAAACATGAGAGGGGCCACCTTGGCCATGCCTAATTCAGGGGTTTTCTCCCAAAAGAAGGGTGGGATAGCCCAGGCAATATGACCTCCATTTGCTGTTAGGACTGTGGCACTGTCATCCTCATTTTCATCCTATGTTTTCCACTCAAAACCCCTTTCCCACCCCAGCACTGCTCCTGAGTTTCCCTCCACTTGGGTCATTTTGCCCATCAGTGTTGCTCAAGCAAAATAGACCTTGTTCTTCAGGAGCTTGTGAGGAAAACTAGAGGCCACCATGGGGACCAGAAAGTCAGAGAAAAGCAAGTTAGTGGGGGACAGTCATGATTGTGCTGGGCTGGGAAGCACTGGTGGGATTCCTGAAGGACTTTTGATCCTCACCATCGTCAGCACATTCATTAATGACTTTGACTCAAGATAATGACTGCAGCTCAGAAACGAGGTTCACGGGATTAGCTGGTGGTGGGGATGGTCCTGGGGTGAGGAGTGGGATGATGCTGGGGATGGACAAAGGCAACACCTCTCGGTTTGGATGCATGTGTATGGGACAGGCAATGGGGAGGTGTGGGGGCTGCCATCAGCTGCCTCGGGGGTGTTGTCCAGGGGTATCTTGGCAGGACAAGGACCACCAGAGCGGACAAGTCTGAAGCAGAGACATGTAAAACAGGGAGGACAGAAGGCGACCAATGGGTCAAACACATCTTATTTGGTTTATGGTGGAACCCGGACACTGTTACCACCGAACAACCTGGATTTATGCCCCAAAACTACCTCCTGGACCTCCCTTTCCTTAGAGGAACCCTCCTGCCCTTTAACTGTCCCCATCGGTCCCCAAACTCCTCAAGCCAGGGTGACAAAAATCACTTGCCAGGTTGCAGAGCGAGCATGGGAATAGCTGATGAAAAGAGATGGGGTTTGGGTTTTTGTGGGGTTTTTTTTTTTTGGTAGCTGTAGGGAAATCATCGGAAATCATTTTCATCAGCAAAGCCAGTTTCACCCTTCCCCAAGAGCAAAACATTGCCCGGGACGTTTCCAAACCCTGTCACCTCCAAAACACCACGAGGCCATTGTCCCCACAGGATGATTTTTGCTCCCGGGCTCCGTTTGCTTTCCCGGGGGGTGTTTTTCCACCCGGTCCACGGGAAGGAGAGCGATGCAGGTGATAACCATCAGCATCACCTTACACCCTCCGTGCCAGCGCCCCATTTGCCTTCCAAATCTCCTGGGGCCCCTCGCCGGGAGCCTTCCCAAATCATTACCAGGCTCACCCTGCAAACGGCAGGTTGGGGGGGTGGGGTGGGGAAATTAATTGGTAATTAAATGGCAGTAGGCATGGGCTGCGTCCAGCCCGTGCGTGTGTGTCGGGGGGGGGGGGGGTGCGTCTGCCTTTGTGTTTTCCCGGTGCTTGTGCACAGAAAGGTGGCTCAGCACTTGTGGGGGGGGGTGGGGGTGCATGCCCGGGGGTACACGTGCACGTTCACGGGGCGCGTGCATTTGCGGGGGGGGGGGGGGGGGGGAGATGTCCATGCGTGTTTTCGGGACGCGTGTGCTCCCTGGTGGGGGGGGGGGTGTGTGGGGGAGTGGGGGGGGGGAGACAGGGGTTGTGATGGCTGCGTGTGCCTGCCTGTCCGTGCCCATGTTTTTGGGAAGAGGGTGAGGTCGGCGGGGGTGGGAGCGCCGGGGCACAGGCGTGTGCGGTGCAGGATGGGGCCACCTCGAGGCGCTGAGCTCCTGCTCAGCCCCCGGAGCTGGCTGTATCCTGGGGGTGACACCTCCACACCTGCCCACCGGAACGCCTGCTAATTAATGTGTTAACGAGGGAGCCGGGGCCTTGAGATGACTGGACTTAAGGGGGGTCCGGGGCTGAGCGGGGTTTAAAAATTTCAAGCTGCCCTCCAGGTCTTTCCTTTAAGTCTGCCCCAAATGCTGCAGGGTACCACTGCCATCCGCCTCCATCATCCCGCCACACCATCATCATCATCATCCTCCCTCCGCTCCATCGCTCTCAGGGGCCTGAATCCAATCCTGGGAGCGATGTACCTCCCAGCAAAGGCGCTGGGGATGTCATTCCCCACCGTGCCCCCCAAAACAAGGTGACTACATCCACCCTGCATGCCAGGAGCATCCCCTGGTCCCTGCTCTGCCCCCAACCATGCCCAGGAGCCGTCTGGGCTGGCACAGACCGAAACCAATGGAATGATCTGAGTGCACACAAGCATCCTGGACACCCCTCCCTCCGCCCCAGCTCGCAGACAGGGACGGGTGGGAAAAGGTTTGGGGTGTCACCCGCCGGTCCCCTCCACGCAGGGAGGTGCTGCAGATTGACCAGTTCCTGAAGGAGACAGCCGCCCGCGAGGCCAACGCCAAGGTCCGTCTCCAACACTTCATCGAGGAGCTGCTGGACCGGGCGGACCGGGCCGAAAAACAGCTCCAGATCATCAGCAGCAGTTGCGGCACCACCCCGAACGGCAGCCTGGGACGCTGCGGCACGCCGGGGGCCAAGGCCGCCGGCCGACCGGTACCTCCACGGGCACAGGCACGGACACCCCTCTGGCTTCTCTGATGGCTGCAAAGGGTTAAGCGGGGCGGTGTAGGGACCCCCGTCTCCTTCCCATGGGGAAATGGATAATCCTGGGTGGGGAGATCCCAAAGAGATGTTGCTCCTGGGTGGCGGGATCCCAAAGAGAAGTTGTTTCTCGGTGGGGCCGTGTTTCCAGGGTGAGTGCGGGCAAGGTGTTGGGGTGATGTTTTTCTGCATCCCACCCGGGGACGGCCTCACCCCAAAGCACGGCTGGCGCTGGGCTGGTTCTTGGGGTCGCCTCCCCCGGCTGCGCCACCCACATTTGGGGTTTCGCCATGTTGGCTCCTCTTGTCCCATCTCCCCACAGAGAGACCGGCACCCGGGGCCGGGGCCGGCCGTGCACGGTCCTTACGGCGTGTCCAACCAGCGCTCCTCCTCCAGCACCGGGTGAGTCCCCTAGCCGTGCTGCCTGCTTGGGATTTTAATGGGCTGCTCATTATTTTTTTTTTTTTGGTGGGAAGGGGATGCACACCCTGGCGAGCGCTGAGGTTGGGCATCCCTGTCCCCCAGGGCCTCGAGCCGGGCGAAAGCCGTGTCGCAGAGCTCGGGCTGCTACGACAGCGACAGCGCAGAGCCGTGCCCCACCGACGACACCGCCGACGGGCATCCCTACCCGGCGCGGGACGGCGGCCGGGGCTCGGGGCTGCGCCGACAAGCCATCCAAAATTGGCACCGCCGGCCCTACCGCAACAGCACCGAGGGGGAGGAGGGCGACGTCTCCGACGTGGGCTCCCGCACCACCGAGTCGGAGGCCGAAGGCTGGGAGCCGGAGGCGCCCGGATCCGCTGCATCCCGACCCGCCGGCAGCTGCCGGCTGACGGGTGAGACCGCGCCGGGATCTTCTGGTGGGGTGGGAGGAGGGGGGGAGGCTGGGTGGTGGGGGACAGGGATGGATCCCCAGCTCTGCGGGGAGCATCGCTTCCCCACCGTCACCCCCAGCCGCCGGTGGCAACTGATGGTGGGTGTCCCACAGCCAGGACCGAGGGGGCCGGGGGCAAGGCGGGCCGGCTGGAGAGGGGCAGCCCGGGCCACTCCAGCGAGGTGATCAGCCCCGAGATCCTCAAGATGAGGGCGGCTCTTTTCTGCATCTTCACCTACCTGGACACCAAGACCCTGCTGCGGGCGGCCGAGGTGTGCAAGGACTGGAAGTTCGTGGCCCGGCACCCGGCCGTGTGGACACGGGTGCTGCTGGAGAATGCCAGGGTGTCCTCCAAGGTACCGGGGATGGGGATGGCGCTGCCCAGGGCGAGAATTTTCTTCCAGAAAGGTGAAGCTGTGCAAGCAGGTCGCTTGTGTCGATGGTCGTGGGAACGTCGGTGCAGGCAGTTGCGTGCTTGCACCGGCGGCTGGGTGCGGTGCACGTTTGCACGTGCGTGCTCGTGGGCACGAGCTCACGCGTGGGCAGGTTTTAATGTGCTTTTGTGGTCACACCCGTGACTTCGTTGCACGCACTCTTGCGTGAGCCCGTACGCGCATTTTCACATATTCATGGCGTGTGTGTGTGTGTGTGTGCAGAAATGCCTGTGCGTGGCTGCACAGATCTGCCCAAAGACAGCCAAGGACGGGTGGCCTGGGGCATGCTGAGGGCTTCCCCCTTGGTGACGGCCACCCCTGTCCCCCCAGTTCCTGGCCATGCTGTCTCAGTGGTGCACCCAGATGCACTCCCTCACCCTCCAAAACCTCAAGCCGCGCCAGCGAGGGAAGAAGGAGAGCAAGGAGGACTACATGAAGAGCACGCGGTGAGTCCCCGCATCCTGGGCACCCTCCTCCCACAGCCGGAGCCACTGGTCCTCCGGGATGACGATGCTCCACGAGCCCCGACCTCCCATTTCCATGGATGGATGGTCATCGCACACCGGCTCCTGCTATGGGTCTTGAGGGTCCTGGAGCCACGGGCCCCCGTGGGCCACGTCGCCCTCCTGATGTGGCCCCAAGGTGGCCGCGGGCTCCCGTGCCTGACCCTGCCTCCATCCCTGGCAGGGGCTGCTTGGAAGCCGGGCTGGAGTCCTTGCTGAAGGCGACGGGCAGCAACCTGCTCATCCTCCGCATCTCGCACTGCCCCAATGTGCTGACGGACCGCTCGCTCTGGCTGGCCAGCTGCTACTGCCGGGCCCTCCAGGCTGTCACGTACCGGTAAGGATGGCCACCCGCATCCCCCCACCCCTTTTCCCCCCAGGGACCGTGTGGTTCCCCGGCTGGGAGAAGGCTGGGAACATCCATGGGACGTGCTGGGACTCCCCTGGTGCCCATCCCCACTCCCTGGCAGAACGCAGCCCGTCTGCCCAGGTGCGAAGGACCCACCTTTCCGTGTCCCCCAGCCCAGTGCCCCCAGTGCAAGCTGTCCTTGCAACTCTCATCCTCTTCTGGCACGTTCCCATGCAGATGTTTCCCTTCCAGCTCCATTCCCACTCTCCTGTTACCGATCTCACCCCAGCTGGAGGCGTGACCGGGGTCTTGGTACGGGGATGCTGCTTTATATTAGAGGAGGGTGAAGAAGAGGTGCACCAGCACTGGGGCCCAGTGAGGTCCCACCTGAATGTCACCCCCTGATGAAGGCTTCTAATAGGAAGAAGAGACCTTGGGGTCCCTCTGTCCTGGGAGGGAGGAACAGCTCTGCCACAGGATTGCTAAAACCCAGACTGAAGACCTTGCCCAAGATCAAGAACACAAGGCCCACGATGGTGTAGGTCCTGAAGGAGGTCACAGGTCCTGGAGGAGATCACTGACTGCTCCTTGGTCTTGCCCACTTTCCAAAGAGGCTCTGCTTCCTGTGGGGACAGGATTTATCTTTCCTACACACTCAAGGAGGACGATCCTTGCTCCGCTGCACCCTGCAGATGACCACCTCAGCCTTGGTATCCATCTCACCTGCAGCTGATGGGTATCCATGACCTGAGTCCTTCGGGTGGGAAGGCACACCCAGCTGTCTCCTCTGTTTCGGATCAAGTGAGCTCAGACACAGCTCTGAAAGGAGGATCCCACACCATGAGGCAGCCCAGTGCTGCTGGGTTTAACCCAAAGACTCCTCCATCAGCCCTTCCAAGGGCGTTAGAGCAAGCCCAAGTGCTCCTGGCACATCGCTAACCTGTGACTCTGACTCATGCTCTAATTAACCCGCCACACTCGCAAGGGGCTCTTGGCAGGCTTCTTCAGTGGAGACGTGTGAAACGCTCAAGATAACACCCATCACTTATTTTTAGGCTTGCCTGAAGTTTTGAAGTAGGTCATTTAGAGTTAGGAAGTGCAGCCCTGGTCTTCGGGAGGCAGCCTCGTGCGGTGAAACAGCCAGGGGCCTCCGTTGGGGCTGGTGGCACCAGGATGACACTCTCTGACATCTCTCCTTGGTTTTGGGAGCCAGGGGCACCAGAAAAAGCACAACCACAGAGCTGGTACAGAGGCCATGGAGCAGCCACCTCCCTTGGCTGGTAGTTACCACCCATCAGCTGAAACGTCCTTAACCACCTCCTGGCACCTTTCTCATCCAGGCTGGGCAGGGGGCAAGTGAAACCACCCCAATGGCATCTGCAGGGATGTTGTATTTGCTCTGCCAGGGTACACGGCCTGGCAGTCTTGGTTCAATCACTTGCCACCTTTGCATCTGAAGACTTCTGCTTTCACATTCGATCTCACCTTCAGCCTCACCTTCAACCATCAACCTCATCTTCAAGCACCAACCTCGCCTTCAGCCTTTCCCTTCAGCCTTACCTCATCCTCAATCTCACCTTCAGCCTCACTTTCGACCTCACCTTCTTCCTTTTTTCTTGACATTGCACATCCGTAGGCACGGTTCCAGATAGAAATTCCTTGAACCTTCCTGCATGGGTTGGTGTTGGGGCTGTCTGGTTCACGGGCAGATTGTGTGTTATAAATGATGACCGGATTCGTCCCTCCAGGTGCAGAGAGCTGGAGCAGCATGGAGGCTGCAGACACAGCCCCCGGGGTGGCATCACTGCTGGTGGGGGCCACCACGTGTCCTCTGTGTTGTTCCAGGAGCTCTACGGACCCCGTGGGTCATGAAGTCATCTGGGCCCTTGGAGCAGGTTGCAGGGACATCATCTCCCTCCAGGTCGCACCTCTACATCCGTGGTAAGAATCGTGTTAGGAGGAGGCCAGGCTGAGTGTGAGAGGGACCACCGGGCTGGAAAGAAATTGGGTGCCAGATCCAGATTTGATGGAGATGGGGGTTCCTTGCGGGACCAGTAGCAATCCTGGAAGCCAGTTTGGGGGACCAGGAGCTCAGCCCCATCCCTCCCTGTGAAGGCCGGGAGCTGTTGGGTGTAGGCACCTCCCCGCTGAGCTGGGAATGTTTCCAGCGAGCGTGCTAACACCAGAGATGAAAGGGAAGCCATGATGGGTCTGGTTGGCTTCACTGGACATCAGATGTTTGTCTGAGCTCCTTGTTGCTTGTGTAACAGCAGCCCTGAAGGGCCTGGGTGTTTTTAAAAGGACGTAGAGCCGCTGCTTAGGGAGATGACTGAAGTTGCTCTTGCTTCGGAAAAGCATTTTGGGGGTGAGAAGATGGTGGTGAATCTCCACCCCACGACATCTGGGTGCTCAGGAGCTGATGGCTCACAGAGCAGGTCACTTGGCTCCTCACCTCTGTGCCATGGGGCTGCCTCCGGGGCATTTCTTCTTGTCTTGGGAGATTTGGTGCAACGTCATGTCCCCCGTCACCCTGGATCGAGGTGCACAGAGTGGGATGTCTCTTAGCAGGAGAAACTGGATGTCGAGCCCCTGGCGGCTTGTTTCTTCCCTGGGGGAAAAACCCCACGGTGTGTAGGCTTCTCCACCTGAGCTAGAGGTCCAGGCTCCTGCTGCTTTGATCACTGCGAGCAACAGAGTTCAGGGCCTGATTCGGATCTCCAAAGGTGGAGGGACTGGGGCAGAGGGGCTCCACTGAGTGCATGGACCTGCCCCTGGTTGCAGCACAGCCCGGGGTGGTTGCTCAGATGGAGACGTCTGCTCTGGAGGCACCTCCTCACAGCGTGGGGAACCCCGGGGTGGGTGGGGTGGGAGAGGTCCCGATCTCACACACACCCCCCCCTTGCAGGACTGGCGTGCGTGGGGGAGGAGGTGAACTTTTCCGCCAGCCCTCCCCAGCTCTTTCTTCTTCATCTCCCCAGCCAGCAGCCGACGCGTTTCAGCAACCGCTGCCTTCAGATGATCGGCCGGTGTTGGCCACACCTGCGGGCGCTGGGCATTGGAGGGGCGGGCTGCGGCGTCCAGGGACTGGCATCCTTAGGTAGGCAGCTCTCCCCTGACGGGCCACGGAGAAGGGGACCTTGCTGGAGGCAGGGTATAGCCCTGGGAGATGCCCCATGGGGATCTCAATGGAGAAGCCCACCCCCCCCAAGGCCCATGGGTGCACCCTGCCCCTCCTTGCTGCCTCCCATCCCTCCTACCACCCCGCGTTCCCATCGGTTGTCCTCATCCCTTTCCCCGTGGGTGCTCTGTCCTTCCAGCCCGAAACTGTATGCGGCTTCAGGTCCTGGAGCTGGACCACGTGGCGGAGATCAACCAGGAGGTTGCGGTGGAGGTGTGCCGAGAGGGGCTGAAGGGGCTGGAGATGCTGGTGCTGACCTCCACACCGGTCACCCCCAAAGCCCTGCTGCACTTCAACAGTGAGTAGCAATGCCGGGGGGAGCACAGAGCATCGCCCAATGACCACAGTGCCACCCGATGTCAACACCCATGAACCAGACCTTGCCTTCCAGCCCTACCCCCAGGAACCCACTGCCAACACTGGAAGGTGCCGGGAGCTCCACGGTGGAAGATTTTTAAGAGGGGATCCAACAACCCCCTGCCAAGGATGGGTTAAGAAGAGCTGATCTTGCCTTGGGCCATAGGGAGGATGGAGACATTCCCTCCGTGCTCCCTGAAGTGTAGTCGGGGCCTCAATGTCTGTGGCACACCTGAGACCCACGCTGGCGTATCTGAGTTTGGGGTCACACCATCTACTGAAGCCATTTGCCAGGACGGGAGCTCAGGGGGGAAAGAGGTCTGCAGAAGGCAAGAGGGTCTGTTTGAGGTGCCGTTCCTGGTGGTCATGGCACAGGTGGCTGAGGTTGGGAACCCACCCCTCTGGGTGGAAGAGTGAGGGTCTACCGAGGAAGCAGTAGGACTGCTGATTTGGGATAGGACAATCAGGGACCATCTTGTAGACCACTGTCCTCCCGACAGAGGTCTTAGTCAGCAAAAGCGGGTCTCCTCCATCTTCAGGGTGACCTTCCCCCGAATGCATAAGGCCTTGAGGAGCACGGGGTGGGTTTTAGGGTCCCTCCTGGCTGTGGGGACGGTATCTCCCCACCAGGTATGTTGAGGCCAGGCGGTACCTCTGCCCCTCAGGTGTGTGCCGGAACCTGAAGTCCATCGTCGTGCAGGTGGGCATTGTGGACTACTTCAAGGAGCCCCATAGCCCTGAAGCCAAGAAGATGTTTGAAGAAATGGTGAACAAACTCCAGGTAAAGCATGCCATGCCCAGGTCACCCGTGTGTCACCAGTCTCGTGTCCCCATTGGCTCTGAGGACAAATTCTTGCCCACCACTGAAGTTCCTCAGTAGAGAACATTTTACCTCACCAGGGACATCCTGAAGGCTCGTTATCCCTCAGACACACAGGCCCCAAAAGCTGAAACAAGATCTAACAGGCTGTGATTCCTTCCCACGGCTTTAACCAGGACTGCTTGCCTGTGGGTCTCCTTCCCCGGGGACAGAAAATGGCTGTTGCCTCCTTCTCAGGGCTACTTACTTGCCTAACAATTGGAAGTGATTTAAAATCCACCTGTGAAAGCAGAAATACGGTTCATTTTAGTTAGGCTGAGCTGCAGACCTTGCTTAGCTTGTGATGCTCAGCAGGGCTTGGGCTGCCCTTGATCTGTTCGGGGTCTCCAAGGCAGACACCTCCACCCATGTCCCAGGGTAAAATAGGTGCCTCCATTTCACTTCATTCTTCTGGTTGACTTCATCCTCCAGCAGGTTGGGCTCCCGTGGGGGCGTCAGGTGAAACTCCCGTGAGATGCAAAGCAGGACTTGGGGACGGGGGGCCCACCAGCGCAGTTGGATGGGGTCAGATGGCTCCTGCGGTTCCAGTGGGCAGCAAGACAGACCCACATCCACCCCCAGGCTGGGGGTCACCTTCAGAGAAGAGCCATGTCAGAAGAGCTCTCCTTGCATGGCCACCCACCGCCGTGCTTTGCAAATCCCACCTTCCCTTGCATGTTGATGTTGTCTGCCCCAAACGACTACGGTCCTCTGGAAACAGTGGTTTTAACCAAGCAGAAACCAAATCCAGAGCTAGCTTCAAGGGCATGGGATTAAGAGGCGTTGAACCAGTCCTGCAAGGAAGCCAAATCGCCGTGGGGAGGGGACCGGGGTGAACCCCTTCCCATGGTGGGGATTTTAGGTGTCTTCTCCTCTCTCTTGATCAACCTGTGGGGCAGCCAGACTGCCAGGTCCTGCACCGACCATGCTCTCTGCTCTTCTTCCAGGCCCTGAGGAAGAGACCGGGCTTCTCCAAGATTTTACACATCAAAGTGGAAGGAGGCTGTTAGACCTTCAGGGAACCACAAAGCACATTCCCTCCTCTGCTCGGCGGAGCCAGAGGCCCCGCGAAACCAAACCCACCATCCGCCGCTCATCCGTTGCCGGAGGACCTGGAGCACGGAGATGCTGGCCCATGCACAAAAAAAGAAAAAAAAAAAAAAAAAATAATCCAAACTCTTTGCAGGCCTTAGTGACTGGCAGCCGGCGCTCATCCCCGGGGCCAGCTCGCAGGCGAGAAGGTGCTACTTAAGGAAATTTTTCAGCCGCCCAAAGAGGCAGGGCTACACTCTTTCCTGGGATGGAAGATGGATTCAAACCCCCTGCGGCCGCTCGTTGCCAAGGATCCTTGTTTGGGGAATATCTTTTTTCTTCGAACTCTCTTTCTTGGGGGGGCGGGGAAGAGTTTTTGGCTGTTTGATGGTGTGGGAGATGAGGATGGCTCAGCCTGTCCCTGCGGGCTCTTTGCAGAGGGCTGGGCTCGGCACCGCCGTGTCACGGCTGGACCGTCCCCGTCCACTCTGTGGGCTGGTGGAGGTGGGGTGGGAAGAGGCCGTTCCTCAAGAGGCAATGGCGCCCACCATTCCTGCAGGGTTTCCGCTCATTTTCATTTAATTTGTTTAACAGAGGGGCACCCAAACCTGGGTAAACACTGCCCAGAAACCAGCAGCCAGGACAGCACAAGCCCAAAAGGCAGAGCTGCATCGCGGGGGCTGTGGGAGCCAGAGGACACCAGGAGAGAAGGTCGCTCTTCCAGAGGTTTCCAGCCTCACCTCCTCTCCACCCAAACCTTCCCGCCAAGGCAATAAAACATCTCCAAAATCCTTGTCCACCAGGAAACACGGGTCATGCTTCTGTCCCACCAACATCCACCACCTGCTCAGGCTTCCTCCAGACCAAGTTGTTCCATGCAGAGAGAGGGACTGGCATGGGACACCCACGTTTGCCATCTCGTCGCCTTCCCGAGCAGCCTGAAGGAGAAACCTTGGCCAAATTGTCCTGAAATCCAAAGCTGCTGGTGAAAGCACCAACCCAACTGCCCTGGGAGATCCCTCGTCTATGGCCACGGCTGTTTTTTTCATTCTGCTTTGTTCTTCTGGCTAGCTTCTGCCTGCAAGTACATCATGACCCCCCCAAAATACCCTTCTTTTTTCCAAAGGAAAAGGCTTTTGTAAGGCATCCAGCAGGGTCAAGCGTCTCCATCCTCCACCCTGGGGAGAAGGTGCCAGGAGTTGCCCACGCCACGGGGGGACACCCATCACATCACTGCCAGCTGCAGGGACACACCGGCCTTAAGCGCAGCCCCCCTGCCACCCCGAGCCCCAACCAGGTGTGCTTGGACCCAACATGCTGAGCTGAGAGGAACCAACCGGGAAAAGCAGATTTTGGGTGGGTTTGTCCTCTTCTCTGGACCACCGTTGGAGGTTTTTGGTGCCTGTTGGCCAGCACGGCTGCGAGGAGATGGCCCTTCCCAGGGCATCTCCCCTTCCTCCAGCCCTCCCGGGGTGATGGGCTGCCACGGACCATCTGCCCAGGAGGGAGAAGGCTGCGGCCCCATCCTGGTACCACCTTCCTCACCTGCAGCGTGAGAGCTGCAGACCTCAGCTGGGGCCTCCCCGCATGCCAACAGCCCATGGGGATCTCGACAGAAAATAAAATTTGTTCCAAATCGCTGAAGCTGGTGGTGGGCTGGAGGCAGCTCCTGGGTCTCCAACCCCAGAAAGCACCTCAGGAGACCATTTCATCCACCCCTCAGCCCATCTGCGCTGTCTCCTCTGAAACAGGGTAGGGATTTTTGGCCATAACCCCCTGTTGGAAGCACCTCTGTTCCCCCACTGACTGCAGCTTTCCAGGAGAAGGCTGCTCCCTGTATGCACAAAATGTGGGAGCTCAAAAAAAAAAAAAAAAAAAAAAAAAAAGAAAAGAAACAGAGAAAAATGCCTGCGAGAAACTACCGCATCCCACCATGCCCCCACGGGCAGCATCGGACGAGCTCCCCGGCACCGGGGATGAGCTCCCTGCCGTGCCCGCCGTGGGTTTACCTCCACCCCGGGGAGGCTGGGACACGCGTAATCCAGGGGCAAGAGGAGCAAGGGATGCCCCGACCAGCAAAAAAAAAAAAAACAAAACCCACCCAGCAAAGCTAAAACCACCCCCTACCCCCACCCGGGGACCACGCAGCTGCCGTCCCACGAGCGTGGTCCCAGTGGAGATGTCACCATTTGAACCGGCGCAGAGACTTGCGAAATCCCCTTAAAAAAAACAAACAAACAAAAAACCAACAGAAATAAAAACAAAGTAAGTATTTATTTCTATAAAGAAGGAAAAAAAAAAAAAAGATTTTAAAGGAAAATTATATACTCAGCATGTTTATACACTCTATGCTTAAAGACTATCGTGTTGGAGAGTCATGTCTGAAGACTGAAGGTGGCTGCTCCGGGTTTGCTGCGTGTCCGTGCCCGGCTCCTCCGGGCCACGGGGAAGGCGAGGACGGGGTGATGGAAAGCAGGAGGCGTTGAGGACTCTTGGAGAAACCTCCCGTGCCCGCCAGCGAGGCCGGAGCGGCTGCTGGTGCCGGTGGTGGCCGTGGTGGCGTGGAGCGCGGGTGGGTGCGCAACGTCCCCGTCCCTTCGCTGCCGCGAGGGTTTTGTCACTCACGGCGGGTCAACTTCACCCGAATTTGGTGCTTCGGTGCGTCGCCGAGACTAGACCAAACCATCTGCCTCCCCTCGGGGCATTCCCAAAAAAGTCCAACTTCTGGCTTAGCGAAGTTACAGTTTTAGAAAAATCCTGCGATGACACAAAGCCTTGAGCTGGTCCAAGGACTGGAAGATGGAAAGCGGCGGGTTTCCCCCATTTTGGTTGGTGTCTGGGCTTGGATGGGTCCCTTCCTCCTCCTCCTCGGCTGGGGATGAAGGTGGCTGGCACAGGCTTGGTGGTAATGAGAGCTCTGCATCTCCCTGGCCCTCCTGGTGGCTCCTAATTGCCCAGGTTGTTAATGGCAACGAGCTCATTAACGGCTGCGTATTTCTTCCGCTGAAATGTCATATTGATGGTTTCCCTGCTGCTTTCCCTCCCCATCCCGCCGGCGCGTGGCCCCGTTGGCTCCCCCACCAACCCCCATCGCCCACCCCCACCCCCCCATCCCTAGGGGATGCTCGAGCCACGCTGCCCGTGGCCGTGGGATTCCCCACATCGGTCACAGGGTTCCGACCCCATTGAAACGACGGAGACACGCAGAAATACCAAACCCCCCCCCCCCCCCCCGGGAACGCCTCGTAATCACGCAGCGTATTCGGGTGCTGGTGGGGAAAGGGCAGCCGCAGCGTGAGCTCAACCCCATACTAGACCCTAGAGAAGCCCCGGAGGGGCTCTGCGATGACAATCCCCAGCAAAAGCCAGGGCGCAGCCCCCCCCCGGTTCACGAGCAGCTTTCGCTCGGGGTCGTGGGGGCGGCCAGATCTGGCAGAGGCGGGACGGGATGGACGGTGCTGCCCGGTTCCTGCCAGCCCCGATTTCCCGCAGGACCAGTTTTGGGGGAGATTTCTTCTTTTTTTTTTCTAATGAGTTCGCCCCAGATTTCCCCACAGCCAACGCTCGCGGCGTTCCCCTTCGCTTGAATTTGGGTGCCAGTCAGGGATCTCAAGAGGAACACCAGCAAAGCCAGCTCGGGGGGGGGCCAAATTTACCCCAAATCCATGTTTTTCTGTCTCGCACGGATGCTGGATTTTGCTTCTCGCGCCGAGCCCCCAGGAGCTGGAGAACCAGCTGCCTCCTCCTGCCTTCATCCCTGCACCCCCAAATTTTTTTTTTGGGGGGGGGGTGGGGGGCAAGGGCTGTAAAATCTAGAGGAAAATGGGAACCCCCAGGTTGGCTCCATCCGAGGAGGTTTTCAAGCCTCTGTATCAAGCAAAGGTGGAAAAAACAAAAGAAAACAAAAAAAAAATCCCACCTCTCGCCTCACGGTTCCAGCTCCCACCCAAGGCACAGCCACGGCTGGGTCTTGGACAGCTTGTTTGGATCCTCAAAAAGGCTCCAAATTGGGTCAAACCAGACCAAAAAAGCCCACGAAAAGCATTGATAAAGGCTCTTAAAGCGGTTGAACAATATTTTCTCTCAGCTCTTGTGAGGAGCTCACGCCAGGAGCTGGCGCATCGCTTCAGCCTCTCGTTTTGGGTTGAAAACCTGCAGGTTGGGGTGGAGGAAAAAGCATTTGGGAATCGGTGCCAAATGACAAAATGCTTTAACAAAAAAAAAAAAAAAAAAACAAAAAACAAAAAACCAAAACAAACCAGGGAGATTTTAGCAACTGGAGATGGTTTGTTGTGACCAAAGCATCACAGGGTGCTGTTGCGAGGCGAGTGGTGGCGATGCGCGACCTTCCCCGTCGGTGGGAGGCAAAATAATCCCCGCAGGGGGTGAAGCGGTCCCTCTTGCACGCAGCAGCAAGGAGAGGAGGGAAAAACTGCCCCAAAGCAAGAAAAACGGGATGATTTTTTTTTTTTTTTTTTTTTTCTGATCCAGCCTCAGGATTGAGCCCCGTGGAAGGGGGGGTGACGAGGCGGGCTGGGGCCGGGGACAAGTGGGTGCAATGGGGAGGGGAGGGCGGGCTGGATTTTGGGAAGCGAGCGGGGGGGAACGCACACTTGCTTAGAGATAATCAGAGGACACGCTCCCCGCAGGGACAGAAATATATATATATATATATATATATTTAGGAATTGCAATCGTTTCCCTAAAGCGCTTCACGGCAGCGTTTGCTCCGGTGCAAGCTCAGCCCCAGTGAGCGACCTCCCCCCTCCCGAAAGGTAGCAGCGAGTTTGCCTCCTAAGTTATTTTTTTAAATCTCTATAAATTTAGGTCTATTTTAGTCTTTCGCAGCAATGTGCCAGTGTCTGGAGAACCAAAAGTCTCTTTTTTTCCCCCCCACCCGCCCTGCCCTGAGGTCACTTGATGTTAAAGTGGGTCCTCGATGCTGGATCTGCCCGAGGATGCTGCCCCAAAGGAGGGAGGCGGGGGTGCAGCAGAGATAGGGGTGCAGCTGCAGGGAAAAGGGGGTCGGGGGGGGGGGGGGGGGAGGATCCGGGTGGTTTTGTGGGCAGCAGGGTGCAAGGCGGGCTGGGGAAGGGCAGGGGAGGAGGGGGCTGCTGCCCGGCGGCCGTGGGAGACGGTGTTTTTAGCACTTTGGTTGGTACTATCACCTGTAGACGCACTTTGATGTTGTTGCTTTGAAACTTTGCCGAGTGTAAACAATGTGTATTTAAATAATTACAAAAAAAAAAAAAAAAAAAAAAAAAAAAAGAGCGTGCAAAGAGCTATTTTAGTATTCGGTGTTGAATAAAGATTCTTGAGATTGAGGTGGGGGTTTCCACTCTCCTGGGGGCCGCAGGGAACCTAGGCCGGTGCTGGTCAGCTCCAGCAGCAAACCAGTGAGAGCAGTTGCTGTTTGGGGCTTACTGAAAGCATCCCTCCCCTTCTTCCCTCTCCCTGCAGGCACAGGGGGTGGGGGGCCCATGGTGTCCGTTGGCCCAGCCCCGTGGGGTGCAAGGAGGGTACAGGGAAGCAGCCTCAGCTGCAGGGGTGTGTTTGGCAGCACAAAATGGGGGCAAAGAGGGGAAGGGGGGGCAGAGAGAAACGCGATTCCCACCCCCCGCATCCTTCAGCAAGGGATTTTAGATCATTAGAGAGGGGAAAAGTTGCTGCTGGAGGGGAAATATCCTCAGCCCTGAGTGGATCTGTCCTTGGCCAGGGGCAAGGCAGCAGCCACAGGATCAGTCGTGTGTGTGTGTGTGTGTGTCCCCAAGTCCTGCTTTTGCCCCTCCCCGGCTGCAGCACTGCATTTTCCTGGCAGAGTGGTCATCTTTAGATGCCAGCGCCAAGAAAGGGCAAGAGGGTTTTACAGGGAAGCCACGAGGAACATGTTAAGGGAGGGGCTGGGTGCCTCTGAGGGAGCTGGTGGCAGCCGTCGCAGGGGCAACGCTCTAGACCAGGGGAGAATTAACACAGTTTGTGGTGTAACGAACCATCAACCTGTCTAATTAAACGCAATCTCAAAGGGCTGTTAACAGACAGATACTAAATTTCTTCCACCGTCCTCCATGAACACTTTCAACCCACCAGAGCCAAACCTCCCCAAGAGAATTTGCCTGGCAGAGACACCCCAAGATCCACCCCTGAAGCACCACCAGGCCCATACGGCCCCTAGAAACGGCTGGAGATGTCAGACACCTTCCACGAAAAGAAAGGCGAGATGTAAATGGCCCAATGAAGCAAAAGCAAGTAAAAATGTCACTGAGCAACATCGGAGAGAGAATACACACTGAGGCGATCTGTCCTGGAAGCACAGGGAATTGGGGTGCACTAGGGGTTAGTCCTAGTGCCCAGCACAGCACCTGCTTCTAAAACAGGGCTAAAAACCAGCAAAATTTTTAACTCTAACCATGAGCTTCCACCCCGCGGAACGAAGCAAGCAGCAGAGAACAGAGGAACACCCCAGTTTGCCACTGAAACGAAAGTCATGGTTTTATTGTGGTTGAGCCTGGGTTCAAAAACCCCAGCAGGGGGAAAAAAAAAAAAAAAAAGTATAAATATGAATAAACCCCCCCACTCGCTGCACTACCTGCCAGCACTGAAGAGGGCTCTGCTCTCCACAGCTTCCAGGCTGAAGGCCGAGGCGAGCCTAAGGGGATCAGTGCTGTGTAGGAAATGTTGGGGCAGGGCATCTCGCAGGAGGTTGCCGCTGCCGAGGCCAAGATTTGACTCTAATTAAACACCGTGGTTGCCTGTAAGCCCTCAAAATGACCATCTGGGAAACAGCCTGTTCAATTAAGCTACAAATCGATTCTTTTTCACATTGGGGGAGAGCGCCAGCCCCTGTCGCGGCGCTGAGGAAGGGGGGCGGGGGTGTCTCAGTGGTTGTGGGGT